GAGTATAGGGCACATGCCCACCCCACTCATGCCAACTAGTGAAAGCACTCGAGGTGATTTTTTTCCAGAACCGGTTCATGAAATAGAAATTGAGATTTTGTTAGGTTAGGTTTACTCGATACACAGACCAAAACATCAAAACAAACCTCGCAGATAGATGAAAAACATACTTACAAGGAAACGATGAAGAAGCAAAATATCTTCTGGATTAGGTAAAAGGAGCAAGATAATTGGGGAAAATACGACAATAAAGCTTAAACCACCTTATTGTTGTTGGTGCCGACAAATCAAAATTTGGTTAATTACCTTGGTCAAGGGGCAAGAACAACAATGAGTCAAAATTTGGTCGGTTTGTTTTTTTATAAGAGTGTTCACTGTTCAGGCTTAATTTCAACTCACAAAGACATCATCATAGACATTATACAAAATAATAATCCAAATTCAACATAAAGAACAAAGTTTGAATGTTAGTGTCAATCTGATTATAGCCCTATACCTAAATTATTAGTATTTATTTATTTATATATGGGTAAACAAAATATGTTTCGGCAAATGCTAGATATCGTCTAGGCAATACAAGAAGTACCATGAAGATACCCTTGTTCTAGCATGGAATTACTCAAATGCAGAACAAGTTAATTTCTTGCAACAACCACTGAGTTCTCTACAATGTACCTTGCCACTTCCATTTTAACTTGAACTCCACGGAATCTGCTTTTTATCTCTACAAACTCGAGTGATGACACCAATCACCGATGCACGGACAATGAACCCTCACTTTTTGTGGTCATATCCAAATCCTGTTATAAAAAAGCACTCACAAACACAAACATGTATAACTTATAAAGTTATATAAGAAACAAACAAATATTTCTTACACATGTTAATTTTATATATGTCCACAAAACCTGACTTGGAGTCTTAAGTACGCAAATGTCTAACATATATAAAGACTTAAGGGAATCACCTTTAAAACACTAACGCTTAATTTACATGACACTTAGCATCAAGTTAAGATGCTTAAGTTTACGACCACATATAGCAGGCATTCAAACTCAAATTTAAGACTCGGACAAAAATACAAGAAGCAGAGACTGTTTTTAGAAACTTGAGAAAATAGCATTCATACTTGGGAAAACATACAATTCAAATGAATTTTTAGTGTCAATCTTTCCAAACCCTTCACGGTCTCATCTTACATGTTCTCTATCCAAAACTTTATCATCATGTACACAAACTCAAAATTATAGGCTTCTATGAGTTTTTGTTCCGTGGATATAGAAAAAATAAAGTTTTATGGGATATTTTAAGTATAACCAGAGAAGAGAGAAACTAGTCCTCCTTTAGGAATTAAGAGTCGTTTATACTGATCGATTTTATTTTATTGATAACTTCATTATTAGACTACTGGTGGTAAAACCCCTCACACTTGATAAAAAGGTAAACAATTTCAACTCTCACGGACGCATTATTAAGATCAACAACTGAATTATTAGGGAGTATACAAGACTTGCATTAAAGCCGTATGAGTTGACTACTATTCCACCTACACAACCATACACGAGTCCTAATGTCATGGCGGCTAGATGTTTTGATGAGAAATCTTCTATCGGATAAGAAAGTTGCATGATCGCAAGCACCGATATTATAAACATCCAACCAATTGGCACCATCACTGCTCTGTCCACGCCTTCGAAAGTATATGAAATGCAAAAAAAATATATCATCACGAAGACGCGAAGCCGCCCATGTGGTCCTAGTCGACATGTTTGGACTGGAAGGTCTTTGTACATGCACCTTGTTGCCACGCCAAGGAACACTATACACCAAGCGCCCCATATTGTGTATCTAACCCTGATGATATTACAATCATAAATTATCCAATATTATGTATTATAAATAACAACGATTTTCTTACCAATGTTCCCTATCCAAGTTCAGAAGCATGAGTGCATAATATAAGCCACAGAGTGAAAGTTGTAAGGCCGCCCAGTAACATCTTTCACGAAAGGAATGACGTCTAGTCACTCCTTGGTCTAGTACTAGCTTCTCATCACCACTCATAATGTTATGATCTTGAATTGATGAATGCACTTAGAGTCCCTCCCTATCTTTATATACTACATAAAGGGTGACAAAATCTATCATATCCAATCAAAATTTTGATATTCTTTACCAATTTGACATATCTTATTTTCTAATTTAAAATCTGTATATAATTAATAAATATTTAGCTAGTAATTTAAATCAATATTTAACAGAATTAATGTCAAATAAATAGTTATTTAAAATAAAATATCCATATGTAGTATAAAAGAACCCCGTAAAAATCTTGACATATCAATATTTAGCTTGTTTGATAATTACTAGGAAAGAGATCAAACGAAAAATCATAATAAAATGAAATAACTTTTCAAACAATTTTTTTAACAATAAATCAAAATATATTTTACAAAACATTATGATAAAGAGACGTAACCCTTAGAAGTATTTATTAAGATTTGTATAATTATTAGAAAACATAATGGTAAAAAAATGTCATCATAAATATAAATTATTAAACAAATTAAAGAGTTATAATGAGTAGACGCAAATTTTTAATTTCTTAAACAATTATATAATATATTCAAAAACTTATAGTAAAAAGATCCAATATTTTAAATTAGGTTATATTAAAGAGAGACAATCATCGGAAAAAAATAACAAATAACAAAATTGATAGTTATTTAGGAAAAACAATAATGATATAGATAACAAAGTATATACATGAATGCAAGATAGCGAAATAATGCAACTTTATATGAAAACTATATAAAATGGTAATTATAAATATACATAATGTTTCTAAGAAAAGAGAACAATATAGAGTTAAAAAGACATATATGAAAGTTTACGAAGACAAAATTGTTTGTAACGGACATAATTATTGGAAAAAAAGTTTGTGATGAAAAAACACGAAGAAAACATGGTGATAAAATACAACTCTAAATGAACATATATAACTTTAACTAATACTCTCAAAAATCTTTTATAAAGGAAAAATGTTGCAACGGTTCATCAAATATACTAAAAGTTGAGTTTATCAAATAAACTTAAGGTTGTAACGGTTCATCAAATATACCAAATATTGCAACGATCCACCAAATAAACCAAAAGTTACAACGGTTCGTCAAATAAGCCAAAATGTTCATCGGCTCTTCAAATAAACCAAATGTTACTATGTTGAATTAAACGATAGCAATAATTCATTTAAATATATTTTAGTAATTAAAATTTTAAATTATTTTATGAAGAACTGTAACCGATAGACGCGACTTTAGATATAAAAAATATACCAAAAGTTGCAACGGTTCGTCAAATATACCAAATATTGCAAAAGTTCATCAAATAAACTAAACATTACAACGGTTCATAAAACAAAACCAAAAGTTGCAAAAATTCGTCTAATAAACCAAATTTTACAACGGTTCAATTAAACAGTTACAATTTTATTTTAATACATTTTAGTAATTAAAATTAAAAATAATAATTTATGAAAAGTTTTTTTTTTTTTTTTTTTGATGACTAGGATCAGGTTCTGAGCCCGTAGACCCGTACATCCCCCCAGGGCGAGACCCAAACCATGTAATATAACTCCCCTTTGGAGAGCAGACCCCTCCCAACGTGAATCGAACCCGTGACCTCCAAGGTCCCTACATTATCGGTAACCAAAGAGCTTAACCACTAGGCCAACTCATCGTTGGTAATTTATGAAAAGTTACATCGAGAACCGCAATTATAGATAATTAAATGTTATAACAATTTATAAAATAAAACAAAAGTTACATTTGTTTGTGAAATAAACTAAATGTTGCAATGATTCAAGTAAACGGTTACAACCGTTAATGAAGAGTTTGATAAAACAAAATGCAACCGTAGAAGATATTATATTTATTCGGATTTCAACTTTCTATAAATTACAACCGTAAAATATATCTTTTAGTTTAAAAAATAAATAAATAAATGTTATTACGATTTATAAAATAAACCAAAATTTGTAGTTTTTCGTAAAATAAACTAAATGTTGCAATGGTTCAACTAAACGGTTTAAACCGTTTATGAAGAGTTACGATAACGAGACGTAGCCGTATTAGACATTATTCGTATTACAACTTTTTATAAAAACACAACTGTAAATATATATATATATATATATATATATAATTAAAACCTAATCTTATAACGATTTATAAAAGAAACCAATAGTTTCAATTATTCGTGAAATAAACTAAATATTACAATGGTTTAACTAAACTGTCGGTTGCAACCGTTTATGAAGTGTTACGATAAAAACGCAACCGTATAAGACATTTATTCGGATTGCAACTTTCTAAAAAAGTAAAACCGTAAAATATATTTTTAAGCTTAAAAAATTAAATGTTATATCGGTTTATAAAATAAGCCAAAAGTTACAACTGTTTGTGAAATAAAATAAATGTGGCAATGATTCAACTAAACGGTTATATATAACCGTTCATGAAAAGTTATAATAAAAAGACGCAACCGTAGGAGACATTTATTCGGATTGCAACTTTCTAAACAAAAATAACCGTAAATTATATTTTTGAGTCAAAAAAAAAAAATTAACGAAAAGTTACGATAAAAAGACAAAACTATTCACAAATGTAAAAAGCATTCATTCATATTGTTAATATTATATAAATTTGCCAACAACATAAACAATCTCCAACTTCCAATCTTACCTAGTTTGCCAATAACACAAACAATCTAAGTTCAAGTTCCAATCTTAAATCACAAACAAAGATCTTGTCTTAAAACAGAGATCGTCGAGTGCTTAAACAAAGAATAAAACAGATATAAGTGAGTACCGATTATGTAAAAAAAAACCATGTCAAGAAACCAAAAACTAAGTCATAAACACAACAATTTTACATGAAATTTATTGATTTATAACGATCCCTAAATTTTTTACTTGATATTTTTTGATAAACGCAGTTTGAGACACACTTTACTGTTTAATATGTTTTCCCATGGATAAATGGCCTATAAATGTGAAATATGATTGGTTTTACATATATTCCAAAGTCATGGAATCATACTTCGGAGTAAATTGAGCTTTCCTCTGGTAGCTGAGATGATTCTGCAATATTTTGCATTGGCATATGCAAAAGAGGCTTAGGAGGAGGATTAAGAGAATCCAAACTTCCTTCCATCATCTCTACAACTTTGTTCATTGGTGGACGGTCTGATGGGCAGAACTGAATACACCATAGACCCACCAAGATCATCTTTTTCGCAATATCTTCTTCCTCTCGGATTAGTCCATCGCCATGAAGCTTTACATAATCTCCATTTTCAAGATCCTTGTAGATCCAATCTGGAAAGTAAGCTGAGCTATTGTTTGAATCAGCATTTTGGACTCTTTCTTTGTTCCTTGCTCCGGTCATCTCAAGAACCAACATTCCATAGCTGTACACATCCGACTTGTGAGATACATTCCCATACACTCTTGAAAACAATTCTGGAGCAATGTATCCTATAGTTCCTCTTGTGTCAAGTAATGACACTATGCTTTCTTGCTTCTCACAAAGCTTAGCGAGGCCAAAATCAGCAACTTTGGGTCGGAGATTTTCATCCAACAGTACATTCTGTGGTTTAATGTCGAAATGCACAATCCTTGTTTTGCAGCCATAGTGCAAGTACTCGATTCCCCGAGCAACACCTAGCGCGATTCCATATAGTATACTCACATTTAAATCCCCCGACTTGGATATAAACTGATCCAGAGACCCATTTTCGAGAAACTCATATACAATCGCTCTTTTGGATCCTTCATAGCAAAAACCAAGCAGAGTAACAATGTTAACATGAGATGTTTGGCTCATGCTTGCGACTTCGTTGATAAAGTCTTCACAATTTCCCATTGAATCCTTCAAGACTTTCACTGCAACTTTACTACCATCGCGTAACTTCCCTTTATATACAGTCCCAAATCCTCCTCGTCCAACAACTTCTGTAAACGATTTTGTAATTTTCTTGATTTCTCCATAACTATACCGTCTCAAGGTTACTAACGCATCAAGGTTCTGATCTCTCTGAGCATTTGTTTTTCTTCTCTCCCAGAACACGAATGCTAGAATCATCACCGCAAATGCCGCTAATATCGACCCCGCAACTGAAAGATACAAAAATATCATTTCTTTATAGTTCAAAACACTTTTCGAAACATCTAGTCAAACAAGACTAACCTGTACCGATTATTATCAGTATCGAGCGATTCTTGATGTTCGTTCCTACAAAATTTAGCGAACTAATGAACAAGATTCATACAAAAAGATAAAATGACACTAAAGATTAGGCTACTTTACCACCAGATACATATGTTGTAGTACGGCAACTAATACTTGATCCTGATACGTTCTTGCAGCAAACCTGTCTGGACAATTGGAAGCCACAGCTTCCACCTGAGGATAAACATTCTTGACAAAATATCTCATTTATATACTTCAGCTTCACCTCAAAACCTTTTCTCAAAACACTTTCCAAATTGGTCAAATTCAAAGCTTCTTCCTCTGGAACGAAACTCGTAGGAACCGTGACACTGAAACTCTCATCACAGAGTTTATGATATGTAGAGTTTTGAATCACAGAGCCAAGACCTTTCACTGGACATGTGAAATTACCAAGGAAATGGCGACGAGGGTCACAAGCGTAGAACACAGTGAGGCTTTTATAAGATGGCAAATTCTGGAAGAGATCTGAAGGTAGAGGTGTTGAGGAGAATGAAGCAGAGCAGAAACGACCTGAGAAATCTTGTCTTGAAAGTGTAAGAATGTTGGATTTGTTGTCTATATCAAGGACAGTATAGTTGTGACCTGAGATCATAAGAGAGGTTGTGTTGAAACTTCTGTTGCAGGTAAGTTCAAGAGAAGGGTTACCGCAGAATCCATTGCGATTCTGTCCTGTGAAAGGGAAACCGGCAGTGATATTGCCACACTGAAACAGAGTTTCACATAACCCACTTGGCTTTTGCTGACTTAGGGCACAAGGAGGATGATAAAACAAGAATATGAAGATCAGACAGAACCTAGTTGTTGGAGATCCCATGAGATTTGTGAATACTTTTGCTATGATTTAGAAACCAAAAGAGAAAAGAAAGTGAATTAAAAGAGCAGACTTTAGTTGACTTTGAAAAAAGATGGGAGATGCGTAAAGAATTGAATTTGTTGACTTTTCTTAAGACATATAAACAAAACGTTTCTTATATTAAACTCTTGGTGGTGGTACCACCACCATTATGACGAGTCAGTTTAGATTCTGAAAGCTCTCAAGAAGTCTGCCTAGCTAGGCAGCATTTCCAGGTACTATAGACAGAACGTCACTTGCAAACAGAACAAGTTGCAAAACTGCAGTAGCGGTTCTGTTTTCATGTTATGATAGAGGTAGGTACTCTCTACATAATGAGAATAAGAATCTCAAATATCAAAAAAAGAACATTTTATACATATGAATTTGGTAAGAGATATATACTCTGCAGTATGCAGAGAGATCAACATATCCTTAAATTTCGAAAAACTGGCGAAAAACTACGGGACCATATATAGTTTGCCTCAGTAAGCCCAGTGCCGGCTCACATAGCTTCATCATTGGCATATATACTGTATTTTAAACACATGAACATTAACAAGGTAAAGAAACTGACTCGAAATTACACATCAAAACCTGATGGAGTCTTAAGGACACCGATGTCTAACATGTAAAAAGACTTGGGGGAATCAACGCTTCACATGAAATTTAACATCAAAATGCTTAATATTACGCTTAACCACAGAATCTATATCCATCGCGTGACACAAGACTGTTCATTCTCAATCCTCCGGATAAACTATACTTGAGCTTGTACAAGCATGAATCCTTAGAGGAATCTAAAGACCTATCAACAAAACTCACTAAGGCATTGTAAATTCATTGGCATCTATATCCATCAAAGTGTCAGGTACTTTGCTTATCATATCCTCTTGTCTTGCACTATAGTTTTTTAGTTCATCGCATAATCGCTTCTCTTTCGACAAGCTTTCCTCCATTGAACCCATTCACAAAACTGAACCAAAGATTTCAAAGAGACAAGCTCAATTACTAAATTAGTTGGCTTATCTGCATCAATTATGGACATCTAACATTCAATGTTTATTGTATATGAAAACTCTGAATATAGCAGGTTTTCAAACTCAAATTTAGGACTCAGACAAAAAAAAAAAAACCAGGACTGATTTTAGAAACTTGAAAAAATAGCATTCATACTTAGGAAAACATACAATTCAAAGGATTTCTTACAAACTCTTAATCAGTTAAACTCATAATCAAAACTGAGAATACATAGATAACAGAAAATAGTAAAACGTAGATCAAGTCCAAGATTAGATCTTGGAACAACAAAACCTATGGTGCTTGATTCCATGGCGCAAACTGATCAAAGTGGACAAGTTGGGTTTGTGTCTGCTTCTGAGGAGGAAACACCATGGGAAGATCAAAGTTACTTCTAAGACCAGATCCTTGTGCCCCAAGTAAAGCCGTACTGGTCGATTGGTCAAAGCTAGAAACAGAGTCAGGGACTTGATAGAAGCTACCATTGTCATGGTTATAGAGAAAGACTGAAAATTTGCTCTGATGTTGACTCAATGATGACGTCAATAGCTCTTTCTCTGTGTTTGACACACCATTCATTAATGGTTCTGTCCATTGTTGATGATGATTCTCAGGAGAAGACAATGGATTCGTTGTGGAGGAAACCGTACGGCTCTTACCTAACTCGGTCTGGTTCTGGGGTTGGAGTAACAAAAGCTTATCTTGTAATATCCGTAGACTACTTTCTAACGAATCCTTCATCTCCAAGACTTTCTCCGAGAGCTTATTGTCGTCGAGGATCTTCTTCCTTAGCAACAGAGAAAGGTTTGTGCTTTTCTTGCGTCTCTCTCTCTCGTTGAGTTTGGTAAATCTCTCAGCCATGTCTCGAACCTTAGATTTATCTTCCGGCCATGTCTTGATGAGTTCTCCGTCACGACCATAATATATGACGCAGACTTCAATGTCGCACAGAGTTGAAAGCTCGAAGGCTTTCTTAAACATGGTCTCTTCTCGCATAGACAAGTTCGTGGTCTTTTTTGCAGTGGAATACAGAGACGATTTCTTGAAACAAGTTTGGTTTCTCAGAGACAATTTGGTTTTCTTCTTCGTCGACATTGAAGAATCCATTGTTTGTTTACACAAAGAAAAAAAAAAGCTTTAGTTTCTTATCGAAGAGAAAAAAAAAACTCTGCGAATTGGGATACTAATAACTTAAGGGAGATTTACTAAGATGTTATACATTTTATATGAAATTACCAGAAACATACAGATCTTTTTTTTTTACTATCATATTTCGGGTATATTTTTTATACCCAGCGTGCCCCTGTTAAACGTTACAGGAAAAAACGTAATTACAAAGAATGCCACTGCCACGTCGCCACGTCAGAAATCGCTGACGTGTATTAATGAACTCAGCCGTCGAGCGATATAGCGGCAGTGACGGCTGAGTTACGGTATGTTGCGGCTGATTTAAGAAAAATGGCTGAGTTATGAGCAAACGGCTGACTTACGAGTATAACCCAGCCTGCAGTTACGGCTGACTTACTGAAATCTGTCTGAGTTATGATAAAATGGCTGACTTTCGAGCATAACCCAGCCTAAGTTACGGCTGAGTTTTCACCCGATGGTTGATTTGTCAAATTTTTGGCTGAGTTATTGCTTCGACACGGCTGACTTAACTTTCTCCGGCTGGCTGAGTTATCAAAGACGGCTTAGTTATGGGATGACGTTACGGCTGATTTATGTTCGAGTATCATAAATCAGCCGTAATGAGCTGGATTAACGGAAAACTCGGCCTTATTATGGCTGACTTAGTAGCGAAAGATTAATTACTAGAATAGCATGCAATGACGGCCGACTTATTAAACGACACGACTGAGTTAAATATTTTTGGTTGAGTTACGACAGTAAACGGCTGAATTTGGCTGCCGTTTTTTCGTTTTTTAATTACTGTAATAGTATTCATGTTGCGGCTGAGTTAAAGTTTTGTTTGATGGCTGGTTTAATTAAGCTGATTTACATTTTTGTTTGGTGGCTTACTTGCCACTTCATCAATTAAAAAATGACGTGGATGCAACATTCCATGTCATCATTCCATGTCATCATCATCAAAGGACAAAAAAATAGGGCCAAATTTTTTCAACTCGTCTTCTTCACCTGAGTTTATCACATCACCGGAACTTCCAATTCCTCATCGTCTTCCTCATTCTTCTTCAATTTCTTTCATCCTTCTCCCGATATGGTTGATCCGGTTCCGGTAATTGGGTATAAAAACACAAATACGTATTTAACACCGATGAAAGAGGGTGTAGAGTTGTGCAGATAGATGCGAAAACAACGCACGAAAAACTTGTGAAGTTGGTGCTCGATGATAAAGTTAGAGGAAATGTTGCGTCTCTTATTGTTTCGCTGCAAATTTACATGTCACGGCTGAGTTATATGCTTAAGGGAAGACGAAAGGTTCGGTCAATTTACATGTCACGGCTGAGTTATATGTTCCAGGGAAGACGAAAGGTTCGGTAAAATTACATTACGGCTGAGTTATATGCTTAAGGAAAGACGAAAAGTTCGGTCAATTTACATGTCACAGCTGAGTTATATGTTCCAGGGAAGACGAAAGGTTCGGTAAAATTACATTACGGCTGAGTTATATGTTTAAGGGAAGACGAAAGGTTCGGTAAATTTACATGTCACGGCTGAGTTATATTCTCCAGGGAAGACGATAGATGGGTGTAAATTATATGTTACGGGTGAGTTATATGCTTTAGGGAAGATGAAAGGTTCGGTAAATTACATGTCACGGCTGAGTTATCATTCAGGGAAGACGAAAGGTTGTGTAAATTATATGTTACGGCTGAGTTACATCACGTTACGGCTGAGTTACATCACTTTACGGCTGATTTATAATACAGATCGGAAAGCAACATTTTTTTGGAGAAGACAATATGAAATTTATTGGTCAAATAACAACAATCAAATTAAGATTCGTAAAATTATGTTTGAGGGATACATAGGAGGAAGACTAAACCGTATGAATCAAAACATAGATAGAAGTAGAAATGTCTCCAAATAGATCGATTGAGAGGAAGATTAAACGAGAGACATGTAAAATCAAAGTAAAAGAGTAGCTATTCTTGATTTCAACTCAAACCTGTAACGAATCATGTAGAATTCCATAGATCTCTTTGTTTTGGGTTTTGATTTTTGATGACTTTTTTCGTGAGCGTGGTTGCGAGTAGATCTGACGAAGCTTTTGATTTGGGACCCTATGGCAAGCGTTGTGGCTGTGAGGTCTAGGAAGATCCAGCCCAATCCTGCAATTTGAAGATCTCTGTCAATGTTGTACCCAAGTTAGTTGCAGATTATTAGATCTAAAAGCTTTTCTTGGATTTGGAGACAAAAAAAAAGAGAAGAGGAGAAATTATCTAAAAGCTTTTCTTGGATTTGGAGACAAAAAAGAGAAGAGGAGAAATAACGTGAGTTTGAGGAGTGTGAGATTGGTGATGTGGATTAATGACATGGATAATCAAATTTTTATTTATTATTTTTAATTAAAAACGAATTAAAAATTATTAATTAAAAAAAACTAATGAAGGGTGTTAATTGTAATTACACAAATGCTCAAAACATATGAGTAATTTTTAGAAAATGTATGATATTCTAGTAATATTCGAACTTTTGGTTAACATCTGAGTAAATATTTCATAACTTAATAAGTGGTTCAAGGTTATATAGAATTGTTAAAACTTGATTTCCATATTTGATAATGATTTCACTAAACCAAGAGGGAAAGAAACTGAGCTCTGTGGGTTTTATTTCCTTTTTTTTTCTTAAGAGTATCTTTGCTTCATTAATTGATGATGATATACTTTTATTAATCTAACCGTTGGGATCGGATTTTTTAAGTAATGAATTTCCTTTTTTGTTTGTTGTCTATGAGTGAAATCTTAATTAGATCCGATTTCCATTTACTAATTAATATCAATATAACCGTTGTAGTAATAGAAAACACTCACACAAAGATTAATTACATAGAAGAAAGAAGCAACATGTTTCTTATGTTAAACTCTCGGGGTTTGTGCAAGTCACCACCACTATGACGAGTCATTTTTAGATAATTCTGAAAGCTCTCAAGAAGTCTAGGTAAGCATATCCAGGTAGGATAGACAAAACGTCACTTGTAGTTTTTCTCCCTTGTAAGCAATTCGGTTCATGAATGGCTCTCTCTAGCGGAGAGTCTCTCTTTCCGATAATTTAATATAAATGGTGTTTGACTGGAAAAAAAAGACATGTAAAGTTGCAAAACTGCGGTAGCGGTTCTGTTTTCATGTTATGATAGAGGTACTAGTCAACATAATGAGCATAAGAATCTAAACTGTCATGAAAAGAACATTTTATACATATGAATTTGGTAAGACATATACCTCTGCAGACTGCAGTATGCCAAGGGATCATTAACTCTCGATAATCCGGTGAAGAATTACGGATCAAAGTTTGCCTCAGTAAGCCAACGATATATAAAAAAATACCAGATTAAGGTACCAACTATATACACCTTTGGTTAAAGAACTTGTATTGCTTATGATTTTACTCTCTCTCTGTTAGATCATCTTCAAAATTCAGATACTTGAGCATATGGGCATCAATCAAAAACTCTGTGCCTTCATGCTCAAAAACAAGAGCACCAGCTTCCATTTCATAAAACTCAACACTGAGACTGGTTAATGACTGAGAAGTGCACTCCTAAAACCTTAACATTATCATTGAGACTTCTTGCAATGCTCAAATCTTCAAGAACCGGGCAAGACGAGATAAGCAACTATATAGCTTCCTCAGTACTGGCATATATATTATTTTCTAAACGCATGAACCTGAGACAAGGTAAAGAAACTGACTCCAAATCACGCATCAAACAAAACCTGATGAAGTCTTAAGTACACCAATGTCTAACATATATAAAGACTTAGGGGAATCACCTCTAAAATCTAATGTTTCACATGACACTTAGCATCAAGGTGCTTAACCACTTGAACTTTCACAAGCATAAATCCCTAGAGGAATCTAAAAACCTATCAACAAAACTCACTAAGGCATTGTAATTTGTGAATTCATTGGCGAATAATCTAACCAGGGAATAAATAAAAACCAGAGGTTTTACACCACTTGGACAAATCACTAGATTTAACTTCATCTTTCATCCGAAACTGCAACAAGAGCATCTGACATATCAAAGTGTCAGGTAATTTGCTTGTCCCTATCCTATTTTTCTTGCACTAAAGTTTTCGAATTCATCGCATAATCGCTTCTCTTTCGGAAAGCTTTCCTCCATTTAATCCATTCACAAAATTGAACCAAAGATTTCACAGAGACAAGCTCAATTACTCAATGTCTATTTTATATCAAATCTCTTAATATAGCAGGTTTTAAAACTCAAATATAAGACTCAGACAAAAATAGAAGAAGCCAAGACTGTTTTAGAAACTTGAAAATAGCATTCATTCTTAGGAAACAATACAATTCAAAGGATTTCTTACAAACTTTTAATCAGGCTAAACTTATAATCTAAACTGAGAATACATACATAATAGAAAATAATAAAACGTGGACCAACTCAAAGATCAGATCTTGGAACAACAAGACCTAATTATAAGAGAACATCATTGGATCTGTAAAAGATGGTGCTTGATTCCATGGCGCAAACTGATCAAAGTGGACAATTGGGGTTTGTGTCTGCATCTGAGGAGGAAACACCATGGGAAGATCAAAGTTGCTGCAGCTGTTACTTCTTAGATCAGTTCCTTGGGCCCCAAGTAAAGCCGTACTCGTCGATTGGTCAAAGCTAGAAACAGAGTCAGGGACTTGATAGAAGCTACCATTGTCATGGTTATACAGAAAGACTGAAAATTTGCTCTGATGTTGACTCAATGATGACGTCGATAGCTCTTGCTCTGTGTTTGACACACCATTCACCAATGTTTGATGATGATCCTCAATTATCGAAGGAGAAGACAATGGGTTCGTTGTGGAAGAAACTACACGGCTCTGACCTAACTCGGTCTGGTTCTCGGGTTGGAGTAACCGAAGCTTATCTTGTAATACCCGTAGACCACTTTCTAACGAATCCTTCATCTCTAACACTTTCTCCGAGAGCTTATTGTCGTCGAGGATCTTCTTCCTTAACAACAGAGAAAGGTTTGTGCTTTTCTTGCGTCTCTCTCTATCGTTTAGTTTGGTAAATCTCTCAGCCATGTCTCGAACCTTAGATTTATCTTCCGGCCATGTCTTGATGAGTTCTCCATCACGACCGTAATATATGACACAGACTTCGATATCACACAGAGTTGAAAGCTCGAAGGCTTTCTTAAACATGGTCTCTTCTCTCATAGACAAGTTCGTGGTCCTTTTTGCAGTGGAAGACAGAGACGATTTCTTGAAACAAGTTTGGTTTCTCAGAGAGAGTTTTGTTTTCTTCTTCGTCGACATTGAAGAATCCATTGTTGTTTACACAGAGAAAAAAAGAAGATTTTCGTTTCTTATCAAAAAGTAAAAACTCTTAGGATACTAGTGAACACGGTTCATGGTTATTATATAGAATTTGATTTCCATATTTGATACTAAACCAAGAGAGAGAGAAATTGAGCTGTGTGGGTTTTATTTCCTTTTTTCTTAAGAGTATCTTTTCTTCGTTAAATGATGATCATTTACTTTTATTAATCTAACCGTTGGGAAATTCTAGTAATTATAATAAAAATCATGTATTTGTTTCTAACATTAAAGAGGAAATCTAAATTAGATCCGATTTCCATTTTACTAGATATCAATCTGACCGTTGTACGTAATTAACATTTTCTATATAATTTTACTAGTAATGAATTAAGGACAGCAAAAACCCCTAAGATGAGGTAACTTCAGCATCAAGAAAAGCCTACATGAAGCAATTGGCTGAGACTATATATCAAAATCACACCCGAATTCTCGCTTTCAGAAACAAACCTAAAGCTCTGCTTCATAGTAATCACTTTGATTCTCCTCACCAACAACCTAAATCCGTAATAGTGAGAGAATAGTGAGAGAATATTGAATGCACCTGGCATTGTGGATGACTTCTACCTTAACTTGTTGGACTGGGGCAGTACTAATGTCCTAGCCATAGCTTTGGGGCACACTGTTTACTTATGGGATGCTTCTAGTGGTTGTATATCTGTGCTTGTGACCATTGATGAAGAGAAGGGACCTGTCACAAGTTTAAACTGGACGCAAGATGGTCGTAATCTCGCAGTTGGTCTTGATAACTCTTAAGTGCAGATTTGGGATTCTGTTTCCAATTGTCAACTGAGAACATTGAAAGGTTGTCACCAGTCAAGAGTAGGATCATTGGCATGGAATAATCACATTCTAACAACTGGAGGAATGGATGGAATGATCATTGATCATCAACAATGATATGAGGATGAGATCATCCATTTTGGGAACTTACGTGGGTCACACTCAAGAGGTTTGTGGTCTTAAGTGGTCAGAATCTGGACAACAACTAGCAAGTGGTGGTAACGACAATGTAGTATATACATATGGGATCGTTTCTATCGCATCCTCAAACTCAACTAGGCAATGGTTGCAGAGGTTTGAGGAACATAGAGCTGCTGTGAAAGCTCTTGCGTGGTGTCCTTTCCAAGCGAGTCTGCTTGAAACTGGTGGTGGTGTAGAAGATGGGACTATTAAGTTCTGGAATACACACACACTGGGGCTTGCTTGAATTCAGTAGAAACTGGCTCTCAAGTTTGTTCATTGTTATGGAGCAAAAGTGAAAGAGAGTTGCTTAGCTCACATGGGTTTACACAGAATCAGCTTACACTTTGGAAGTATCCATCTATGTTGAAAATGGCTGAACTCACTGGTCATACATCAACAGTTCTTTTTATGACACAGAGTCCGAATGGTTGTACCGTGGCTTCAGCAGCAGGAGACGAGACTCTTAGGTTTTGGAATGTTTTTGGAGTAACAGTGACCACCAAGAAAGCTGCTCCAAAAACTGCTCCAGAACCATATTTTCTCATGTGAATCGTATTCGTTGAAACTGTGAACACTAATAACTTAATATACAAGTTATTCACTATTCATGAATTTTTTTAGTTAATATAAAACCAATTATTTCATGTGTATATTGTTGAATCAAACTATAAAAAAAAAAATGACTCCTATTAATTAATGCAAAGACTTGTGGTTTTATCTTATATTTAAAATATATATTTGCAACACGTTCATTTTTTTTTTTTTTTTGATAAACCCTATCGGCTATCCGGTCGGCCCCGGTAGGAACGCACCGATGTGCTACATAGTGGACTTGTCCACCGTGTTAACGGCTAGGCCCTTCGGGCTACCACTCTGCCTATCCCGAGTTTGGAATGCCTTCCGACTAAGTGCCAGGGGGTAGTCAGGCCGCCTGCATTTCTGACTACCAGGTAAACCAATTGGGCCAAAACCCAACTGACAGACTTCCCACATAATGTTGATAACAGCAAGAGGAGGAATCGAAACCGGAGGGGAGGGACTAGCCTCTTCAGCTAAGTCACTAGCTCAAGCTCAAGATTCTCCTCTTCACGATAACTTTGCTGATTACTCTTCGATCAATCATGACCGGTCTGGAGCAGGCAGCCGTAGCTCTCGTTCAGAACACGACAAGGTCACAGTGAGCAAGACGACAGCTATGAGACAGAACTCCATGAAAGAGGTTTCACTTGCAAGTGAGATCGATGGAAGTTAACTTCAACGACTACTCTCATCGTAACAGTGGAGTATCTAAAGATGTTGACATTCACACCATCTTTAACAGTCGTTCCTTAACATAAATCTTAGGAATTATATAATTAAAATTAAACGAGAAATGAGAGTTAAATTTAAGGAACGTTCAGTTAAGAAATGTTTATTCAGGAAAAATGGGTAGAAAAACCCCCACCTTTCCTAAAAACATGTAAAAAACCCTCAACTTTTTTTGTGGGTTTTTAAACCCTCACTTTTTTATAAGTGGTAAAATAAACCCTAATATTAATAAACTCAATTAATTTTTTTTTAAATTGTTATATTAAAATAGTAGGAAACAAAAATATTGAATTTTTTTTTTTTTTCAAATTCGAGTTTACGATTTTTCTTTCTTAAATTAAGTTTTTTTGCTATGAAAATTCATTCACCATTTAGTTGAGATTAGGCAAATCATTTTATTACCATTAGAATTATGTTATATAAACTACAAAAAATTTATAGGATAGCACATTTGATTTTTTTTTGTTCGAGTGTTCAGGTTTCAGATAAAAATATATAGTTAAATAATGATTAACTAAATGTAATTTATATTATATTTTACTATATCGTAATATGTATATAGAAATATTAACTGTTAGTAAATCTTATTTAGTTTATCCGATGAAAATATTTTGATGTGGAAATTCATGTACTTTTCGTAGTATTATAAAATTTGGTTTGGTTTCACGTTAGCAAATTTGTATGATCGAACCGAATAAACCTTTATTAACATAAACTCATATTCGGTTCAATATAAGAATTTATATATTTTCGTAACAAAATCTGTGTGGTTTCACATTGATGAGTTTTTGTAACACAACCGAATACAATTAATATTTTTACATCATGACTTAAAAAATTTCAATTTAGAAAGAGAATGTAAATTAGAATTTTAGAAGAAAAATCCTAAATCAAATTGTTTACATTTATTATGTTTTAATATAACGATATGTTTGAATTTAAATTGAGTTTATTAATAATAAAGTTTATTTTACCATTTATGAAAAGATGAGGGTTTAAAAACCCACGAAAAAAGATAAGGGTTTTTTATATGTTTTTTAAAAAGGTAAGGGTTTTTCTACCCATTTTTCCGTTTATTCACCTAAGAGAGGGACATATGTCATTCAAAGAGTGGGGCTTGGTAAAACAAGAGGAAGGAAAAACATTGCCCGATTTTATTCTTCTTTTTCGCGTTTCTCTCTCTCTCTTTTTTCTCTGCGACTGAGTAACCAAAGAGAAATATTCTCAGTCTCAAATCTTCGTCTCCTCCGTTGATTGTTTAAGCCGGTGAATCGGAGGATGGCATCTTCATCATCTTAACGGACGGCGGCTCTCCACGGCGCCTGTGGGTCATATAATCAGCGATTTAGTACTCTGTTTCTCTCTATCTCTTACTCTTTGTTTTTTGTTCGTTTGTTTGGAGAGAAAACAAGAGAAACATTTTACTTTAATCTTCTACATTGATATTACGGATCACAAGGATAGTTCTTACAAGACACAACACATGATACTTATACTACTTGATACCACTCACATTTTGATATTGCTTCTTGTGAATATGTTTCTGAATCTTACTAAAAAGGCAAATCCTTTTTTTTTTGCAGACATTCATAGAAGAGGTTGATTACCCAATGCCAGAGCTTAATTACCCAAATCTTAATTTTAATTTTGGATTAATGACTGAGTAAAATAAGTGTTATTAAGACCAATGGCAAATTGATGTAAATATTATAATATCTGATGGAAAATTAATTAAATGAGTTGAGGACAGTGGCGGACCCAGATATGATTTTTACCTGGGTCAAAAAGAAAAAAATTAAACAAATGTGTCATATTGGGGAATTGAACTCAAGACATGGGGGTGTCAATGATGAAGGAATTGCCGACTTTGCTGCAGATTCTTTTAGAAATACAATACAAAACGACATATATATTTATTTTACCTGGGTCAAGTGACACCCCTATCTTGTGCATGGGTCCGCCACTGGTTGAGGAGCTATGTAAACGCGACATGTCAGGCATTTTCGTTAAGCACACCTAAGGGTAAGGTTATTTTTTAAAAGTGCTTCTCAATTAATATATGAGGGATAAAAATAATCAATTAAATTCACGTACTTCTTCGGTATCATTTTTAAGTGATGTCTAAGGTTTTTACACACAAATTAAGAAAACACATCATTTTCATTTAAGTTACCTTTTAATAAAAACATCATTAAATAAAATAATTTTAACCAATAATAAATATAGAGTAAAATATGATTGGTCAAAAAATATTAAATATATTTAATTTTTGCGTAGAAAACTGAAAACATCACTTAACTGAAACAAAATATTTTTGCTGAAACATAAGCTTAAAGTGATACGGAGGGAGTATAAAATACAGAAAAAGCTGATAAACATTGAAAGTTGCTTGTAAAAATTTTGCGTCGCTTGTAAACATTGATAGTAAACATTCAAAACAATCTAAAAAAAAATAAAAAATAAATAATAATTTCATCTAAATGATTTACAACTTCACTAAGACTCTTATCTTTAAAGTAATTGTTTTTTTTTTCTTTCTTTCTTTTATGTGTTTTAGATTCATTGTTTCATAGTATCACTAATTGACATAAACATGCATAAATAAACTAAACTATATACACAAACATATATATCAAGACTATTAATTGATGAACTAACCTAATTATGATTTTAGTTTATTGGTAAAAGTAGTACATTCCAAAATACTTCTTGCACACTCTTGAAGTTGTTAAAGCTCTATTGTTGATGTTAATTAACCAGCTATAAGAAATGTTTCCCCAGTCTTTTCATTAATTAAACAAGGAATAACCTTTTTATGTATTTATTTAGACAGATTATTCTGAAATCAATAGTTTGATATATATCGGGATATGCAAATATATATACCAATTTGAAGTCAATAAAAAATATATTTACATATACCAATGATCAATTAGGCACACTTCACTATCTGTCTAAGTCATATAATACTATTTTAGGTTTTGATGTTACCTCCTCGCTTCCCAGCAGAAACCATTAGAGGTTACAAACGCGCTTCCCAGCAGAAACCATTAGAGGTTACAAACGATTTGCTATTTTCTATAATGTCATTCTCACTTATCTTAATAACATGAAACTGAACTGAACTCAACATAAAATAGGTAGCACAGTTTGTTATTGGACTTTACGCATCAAGACACAACCTTGACAGTTTGAAGCAGAAGATTCGTAGCTTCCTTGTGCATTCTAAAGAATTCTCTGCTCCGGTATATATATATTGGTTTCTTTAGAGACATCACTTTCATTAAATAAAACAAAATATTTTTGCTGAAACATAAGCTTTAAGTGATACGGAGGGAGTATAAAATACAGAAAAAGCTGATAAACATTGAAAGTTGCTTGTAAACATTTTTCGTCGCTTGTAAACATTGAAAGTAAACATTCAAAACAATCTTAAAAAAAATAAAAAAATAAATAATAATTTCATCTAAATGATTTACAACTTCACTAAGACTCTTATCTTTAAAGTAATTGTTTTTTTTTCTTTCTTTCTTTTATGTGTTTTAGATTCATTGTTTCATAGTATCACTAATTGACTTAAACATGCATAAATGAACTAAACTATATACACACACATATATATATCAAGACTATTAATTGATGAACTAACCTAATTATGATTTTAGTTTATTTGTAAAAGTAGTACATTCCAAAATACTTCTTGCACACTTTTGAAGTTGTTAAAGCTCTAGTGTTGATGTTAATTAACGAGCTATAAGAAATGTTTCACCGGTCTTTTCATTAAACAAGGAATAACCTTTTTATGTTTTTATTTAGACAGATTATTCTAAAATCAATAGTTTGATATATATCTGGATATACAAATATATATACCAATTTGAAGTCAATAAAAAATATATTTACATATACCAATGATCAATTAGGCACACTTCACTATCTGTCTAAGTCATATAATACTATTTTATAGGTTTTGTTATTCATTCATTTTTTGTTGGGATTTTGTTTTACCAATTTCCTTGAGGTTTAAGCTTTTAAAGTAATAGATTGTTATTTAAGCACGAAATTATATTCACCAAAAACAAAATTTTGTACAAAATTTGACTTAGCAATCTAATCATCTAATTTCAGTCTATATCTTCATATGGATCTCAATTAATATTTAAATTAATCTAATCAAAGACTGTTGTTCGTGGAGAAGAAGTTTATACTGCTCACCAATTAACTCAAGAAGGTTGGTTCGGTTGAGATGATCAAAGAAGTAAGCACAACTCTTGAGAACCTAAGCTTAAAAACCATGAGATTTGGTGAGCTTGAAGAGGAGAAGGGGAAGGATGGATAATTGATGAAGGAGCTCTCAGATTTGATGATGGAGTCATATGACAATCTCGAGAAGAAAGAGTTTGTCAACGCCAAACGAGTGTTCATGATTAAAAACTCTTGCTTCAAATCTCATCTCAAACAAAATCGATGTGGTTAAAGTAAATTTTTTCAGTCTATATATTTATATGATCAATCTCAATTAGGTCTTAAATTTAATCAAAGATTGTTGTGTTGTTGTTTAGGCACTCCCTAGTGTTTTTGGAGATTTCGGTTTCAAAACTTTCAACACTTACGAGGATGCGGCGAAAATCGCTAATAACTTTGGTCTTCTTGGAGAAGAAGTGAAACTAGATGAAGAAGAGTGATGTTTTCAGTTAAATATTGATCGTGAAAGACCACAAAGCTTGGATAGTGAAAGACAAGAGGAATGACTTATGTCCTCCTTTTCATTTTCCTTAAGGTAAGGTAAGCCTTTTACATCACAACTCTTTGTTAGTTGCTCTCTCATAAGAAAAAAAAGTTATGTGATATGGTTGGTTTGTTGATGATACAATCATACATGAATACGTGAAAGAAGATAAGATGAGAGATGTAAAAGGCTGAATATCTTTTGTTTAACATCTCCTGAAAATTTAGAGAGCTTGTGTATTTATTTAGAAATTGGTTTTTTTTTTTCAAAGTTTAATTTTTAGACTCCTTCAATCAAAATTTGCTATAAAGAACA